AGTTCTCAGATGACTCTGCAATTGTGGGATGTATCAAGGGTGAGCAGGAGGAGGAGTACAGAGGACTGGTCAGCAGCTTTGTGGAGTGGTGTGGGGTGAACCACTTGGAACTGAATGTAACAAAGACAAAGGAACTGGTGGTAGATTTCAGGAGGAAAAAGGTCAAACCTACTCCTGTCTACATCCATTGGAGTGGCGTGGAGATGGTGGACTCGTACAAGTACTTAGAAGTGCACATCGACGACAGACTGGAATGGTCTAAGAACATCGAGGCCATCTATAAGAAGGGACAGAGCCGACTTTACTTCTTGAGGAGGCTCAGGTCCTTCAATGTATGTAGTAAGATACTTCATATGTTCTATCAGTCGGTGGTAGCGAGCGCCATTTTCTACGCAGTGGTATGCTGGGGCCCTGGGATTAGAGCAGTGGATTCTAAAAGGCTGAACAAGCTCATCAGGAGAGCAAGCTCTGTCATTGGGTCTGACCTGGACACCTTGGAGGTAGTGGCTGAGAGGAGAATGATGTCCAAACTAGAGGCCATCATGGACAACATCTCCCATCCCCTCTATGACAGGCTTGTAGAAATGAAGAGAACATTCAACAATAGAATGATTCATCCATTGTGCGACAGGAAGCGCTACATCAGGTCATTCTTGCCTTCTGCCATAAGACTGTACCACGCATACACCTTGCGTCTGGGCAGAGGCAACATTGACAGTGACCTGTTTCTGGACTGAACGCATCTACACATCTACTGCTACATCTGTTCTCTTTCTTTTCTTTACCCATTTACAACCGTTTTTTGTGCAATATATGCCAGGGACCCGTGCAATACATTTATATCTATATTGATATCTATATCTATATTTACATCTATATTTATATTCATATGTGTGATACGATTTTTCTGTGTACTGTTCTGTTTTAGTTTGTTCTTTGTGTGTCCGGACTGTGAGTAACTCTTTTAGTGCACCCCTCACTGTACTGATTGTATTGTATGTATTGTACTATTATTATATCATTCGTTACACTGTGGCTGTGTTGTCTGTGTTAAGCTGCTGTTGCACTGCAATTTCCCTCCCGGGATCAATAAAGTATCTATATAATTAGTAGGAGGCACTTTACCATGTTGTATGACAATAACAGAAACCAATATGCCAATGTGACCACTGAGTTCATCAGAAGAAAAAATTGAAAAATCAAAATCCAAATTTGAGTGTGCATTTTACAAAATAAAAAGTAACCTTAAACAGATTTTTACACTCTAAAATTTAAACTGAATGTTTTCTAATAAAGTCATTTGTAAATCACTAGGTTGTTTTTGTTCCAATTTTGTTTCCAAAAATATTGAGTTCATGGGTTTGAATCCAAATATAATCAACATTTCATTTTTTTTCAGTTTTTATTTTTGCAGATATTTACTGTAACTTATACCACCCCTTGAAGTCTTTAATGTGAAAATTTAAGTTTTGAATACAATATCAAAATATGTATCATTTTGTAATTTCACAATAGGTAAACCAAAGGAAAGGTCCGAACACTTTTGCAAGGCACTGTTTATCACCACCTGGCACATGAAAGACACGGTCCAATGTTCTGATATTCTATACTACAGATGCAAAATGCACGGTACAAACCCGCGGTACGGGAAAGTACCCACAAGCCACCGCAGGGCACCACGGTAAGTGACTGGCTGGCCAAAATGACCAACAGGGGCACTCGTGGTGCATTGGTCGGTAGTGAAAAGATTTAATCATTTAATCGCTTTACTGTGCACATTTTAATCCACTTAATATTGAATATTTATATGAAATTTTAGTAGCTGAGCATAAAAAGAAGAGGAGCATAACACATCTGAAGGTCATAAACGATATTAATTTAGGAACATAAACATTACTGTATGTAAAATGTACTGTGTGTGGCTGGTCTTGGTAGTTTAAAGAAAAAATACACACCAGTCTACCATTTCTCCAATTGCTGTATATAATGAATTTTAATTTAAAACAATTATTTAACACGAAAATGAAGCTGTTAAGATGTTAATTAAGCTGAAATTAAGCCGCCTGAGAACATACTGTAGTCACCCGTTGCTACCCAACGCAGAAACACAGCCACTAATATGCAGGACAGTATGCTTCTCAAAGCGCTCTACAGGATAACAGCAATAAGAACAACAAGCAAGTCCTGGGAGGAAGAATATATCATCAATATTAATAATAATAATAAACTTTATTTTATATTACGCCTTTAAAGGTGGCTTTTTATTAAAAAAAATCTTTTTTTAAATGCATTTGCATTTGCACACAGAGCAGTGTATACTTGAACATGGAGATGCCAAACTGAATAATTCCTGCACACAACCATTGCAGCTGAATTTGCATCATTTGGCAGGGCTATGATTCATACAAGTGGTGGTGGATTTGGAGACAAAATGTTTTAACATTGGGTTGCTGTAAGTGGAGCACTAATAGGCCCAAAGCTCTACTTATTATTTTACAAAAGAATGCACCTGACAAGCTGGACAGTATGCTTCTCAAAGGGCTTTACAGGATAACAACAACAATAACAACAGCAATTTACAAGTTCTGGGAGGAAAAATATGATCAATATTAATAATAATAAACGTTATTTTATATAGCGCCTTTAAAGGTGGCTTCTCAAAGCGCTTTACAGGATAACAACCGATGAAACAACATTGGTTGGGGGTTGAAAATACCTGTGAAACCGCATTAGCATGTTAAAGCGATTCCCTTGAGGAGCCAGGCGCGATAATTGTTTTGTTCCTTGATACAGTATCTGATCTGCAAGGCCATTTGAAACAAAACAAAAACTAAAAATAAGATACAATCTACAGACATTCACAACATAAACATATCTTAAAACATTTACATATATTGTTAAATTATTACTTTAGATATATACTTTAGGTTACTGAAACAGTCAGTTAATAAAATCGTTGCAATTTTGTTCTTGTTTGGAGGTGGGGATATTCTGACAACAACTGATTTAAAGACAATCTGTCAAAGTGCACTGAAACAATAATTACACTGGGTTCCAAGGTCAAATTCTTCTGTGACAGGGGTACCTTTAAAGCGCAGACGACGGCACTGAAACATTTTGGCGCGCCCTCTCTTTAAAGCCCTGGCCAAATACGAAGACTGTACATACAGTTATAATTCAAACTGAATTAAAAACGACTCCCGCAGAGAGTGATGAAAACCGCACATTAATATGTTGGGCTTTTGGGTTCGGGTGGATTTGCACCCTACAGTTCAACCTGCGGTACCACTGTGTACTGTACATACAGTATGAACGTGTTATTTTGAAATATAAAAAATGTCAATATACTTTAGGAGAAATTGAGTATTGGTGTGTATTTTCTCTTTAAAATACCAATAACAGCAACATACAGTTAACATAATGTTTATGTTCCTAAATTTATATTGTTTATGACCTTCGTTATGCTCCCCTGCGTTTTATGCTTAGCCACTGAAATTTCCCTTTAGTGGTAAAATTCCATATAAATATTCAATACTAAGCGGATTAAAATGTGCACAGTAAAGAGATTAAATGATTAAATCTTTTCACTGACGAGCAATACACCACATTATCTTCCGTGTCGCATTAACATTGGAATGTTTTTTTTACAAGTGTCAAAAGAAGCGATACACAACCTGTCTCCTCTATAACTGTTCAGTTTACAGAGAAATTCCACCAGAGCCTCACAACATTGTCCAATAATACTCTTCTCGCGTCTAATTTTTAGTTAAACAGGATTTGAGCTACAGACCATAACAGACCAAAAAACAGAATCCACCTGCGATTGGGGTGTTAACAAAACGTGTTAACAAAGAAAGTGAAATACAGTAATATTACCAGCTATATAGATACATAGATTTGGAAATTTAGATCCTTAAATTAATATCATTATATCAATATTACATATTCTCGATTACAAAACAGATAATTCCGGTCCTGGAATCTGACTGGCTGACACCCTTCTGAAGCAGTACCATAATCTCTGGTATACGGACGCCCCTGAAATTTGACTTGTTACTGTGTGATAAATTTTAAAGACGTAGATAAAAAAGTTTGGATTCTCATGTATCTGGTACAAGTATCTTTTAAAACAGTCTTTGTTGTGCTCTTGAGGATCCTTGTGATATTTTGAGCTCTGGTTGAATGATAAGTGTCGCAGTTTAAATAATTTTCGGTGTTAGAAATTATGAAAGCTCTGTTAAAAGCAAGGGAGTTTTTGTGTGTGCTATACTAAAAGAAAATGCCCGATGACCTAGGGATTGGACAGTTTTTCAGTGCTTGTACAATCAATGGAAATGTTCAAATAAATGTGCTAAAGAAATAAACAAAAAAAGTCATTTATTCCTTTATCATATTGGCTAGCTAATGTCCCGTCCTTGTTAGTTAGATCAACGGACTGCCGTGTTGTTACTTTTTGTCGATGAAAAAATAAAGCATTTAAAATGACGGTTACAAATAATGTGGACCAGCGTAATACTTTGAGTTTACAGCTTGTCCAAGGGTATTCATTATTAATAATATGAGTAATATCTTCGGAAATAAAATATTTCTGCATAATTAAAATATTTATGATAAAGGTAGGTTGTGCACTTTTGCCCAACTGAGCAATCTTGCTTTCATAAAATATACCAACTTTTTAATGACTGATGATTAACATGCTGCAATACACAGTTAAAATTTAAAAGCTCAAATGCTGTACATGAGAGGTTAAGCTTTATTGGCTCCTCCTGGTGGTTTTACAAGGTGATTCTGGATACTTTCCGGTATGTCGTCAAATGACGCGATAGACTGCATGATACTGCGTTTTGATGCGACACGCCCACCGGGGTATACCGCGAAATACCCCTCCCATTTTGAATGACTGCATCTGTAGCATAAAGACATAGGTTTACAGTTGAAGCACTTTACCTTCTCAATGTAAATATGATAATTTTGACAGTTATTGTAAAATCAGGTCCTACCTGGCATATCCAGATGACAAAGATTTTAATTGGTCATAGAAGTCAACCACAATTTCATTCAGAGGAAAGAGGTATTTCATCATAACACGGTGGTCATCAATGTAAACCAATTTCTTTTGTACAGCTCTACGATTCTGTACAAGGAAGAGATTAAATATGCTCCTTTTTAATTCCACTAAATATATCTAGGGTCAAGAACAAGATGTTTAGAAAATCAAATTTAAAACAAATAATAAGACATCAGAGAACGACAGTTCCCCCCAAAACTGATATTTTTCCCTTAGAGTCAAAACATTTAAATTTACAATTATGTGATTAATATGAATGATAAGTATATTTTAATATGTTACATCATGAGTAGTTCAATGCAAATATTTTATCATATTACAAAAAAAAAACATACCAGACACAAAGTTATAATCTTGCCAATGTAGTCATCTGGTGTAATTATGGTACCAATAACCACAGGTTCAAAATAATTTAAAACTTGGGACCTATCAGGGAAGTGAGATGGATTGACAATGGTAATATCCTCTGAACCATACTCCTGCAAAACAAATAATTATGAAAAACTGTTCATTATTTCTTCACATAAAAAGGGGCATTACAGAATTTATACAAATTCAAAGATTCATCATCTGATGGAGAGAATATACTAGGGAAGTAGGTTTGTTATGTTAACAGATCTGGTTTTAAGTGCTACAAATTAGTTTCCTCAGGACACAGACAGGAAATGTACCAAAGTGAATACCGCTTCAGTTCACAGATTAACAATAAGAAGTGAAAGAAACACCTTTTACAAAGCCAATGTGCTTGTTGATGTATCAGATATTTTTACAATCTAAACCTGTACTTCAAAATCTAAGAGTGAGTGTGCATGTCACCTGATAACATATATTCCATTACACATCACAGGTGTATTAAAGGGTATTTTTGGATTACTGTATAGACACTAAAGCACCAGTAAATTAAATTTAGACATAATAATTATAACATAATAATTAGGTCAACCAATTATAGTTGATTTATAATTTTATACTAGTAATATAATAGTTATCCAACCTATACTAAGTCTAAGCCTCCTTTTAAATGGGTTCAAAAAAGCAGGGACATGTGTAAAAGATGTGCAAATATAGGAATAAAATTGTTAAATGTTAGGTCTAGGAAACCAGCTCTGTTTGTAAGAGGGTAAGCCATTATAATTTTCCCTCTTTCTACCTCAGACAATAAAAGCAGCATCTATGTGAGTAGGAGCCATGATTTACAGAGTGGATTCCCTGCTCCTTGAAAGACAGAAACTTACCAAGTAATTGAGATTTAAAGACATCAAATTAAAACTCGGGAAAATTAGGATATATCCATATACATATTGGAATTTTGTTTAGTTTTTTGTTTGACCACCAGACAAGATAATTATCTCTTTTATTATGATGCACTTATTTGGTATTTTTCCATCCAGTTTAGCATCAGCTTAGAGTGTTGTTTTTTTTTGTCTGCAGTATGGCTTTTACATTAAATGAATTTTTAACATTGGTATTAATTCAGTTCCATCACCTATTTATTATAAAAGACAATCAAATGCAATACTACCACATAAGGCCTCTAAATTTGTAACAATATACACATACATTCTTAGCAATTGAATTAGTGATAACATGTATTTTTAAAACTAAATAAATTCAAAGCAGCTAAAAAGGTAACCCACCTTTATAGATTTTGTTGACGAAAGAAGAGCCTTGTAAGGCACAGTTGGGGCTGTTACAATTACAGAGGCATCGTACTCTTGCTCTAGCCGCTGGTTAAAGACATCCAAGTGGAGAAGACCCAAAAATCCAAGCCTGAAGTGAAAATTGATGTATAACTTAATTTCATACATAAACATTACAGTATATTTGAAGACTTTATAGTTCCTTGAGTACAATATGTAGAACTTACATGACCTTTTGTATTACATACCCTCTATATTCTATTTAGGATTGGAGTTATTCTAGAATGGAGTTACTCTTAATATACTTTAGGAGAAATGAAACAAACAAAACATGGTCTTTTTTATAATAAACAGCATTAAGTGGTACTTGGTACAGTTTTCAAAGGCCATGGTGCATTCCTTCTTTTAACAAAAATAAAATCTTATTACATGGAACAATTTTTGTACAAAATTTGGAAATAAAATTTGAAAAACAGGGTGTCACTTATTTCATGATTTTTTTGTCCACAAAATGACAACTGGTAAAATTATTTGAAAAACGTTTGAGAAATATACACAGTGTTTGCTATTTGAAATTTAATATAATAATGTTCAGCATAAAAACTAGCTATATCTCGATATTAATTTCATTAACAAAAGGAATAACAGTTTTCATTTGTCTACAAAAATATTAATACCTTTATCATTCATCCAACGGACTAAATTCAGTCTTTTTCACCATGTGAAGAACACTTCTAACTCTACTCTTAGTGATTTTGTGGCCAAAAATAAGATTTCTCCCACTAAAAGCAAAGTTTTCTTTTCAAGTTTAAGAACAATATGATTTGTTCACAAAATGCTTATTTTATGCATTTAATATTAATTTGGTGGCACATTATTTTCTGTACCAAATATTAATGTATTTTGTGACTTAACACATACACTATGACAATGAAAACAGATTGTGTGTATGCAACAGTGTGTTCCTCTTCAGAAATAATAGTAAACTGTGGAAACTATAAAAAATATATATCACCAACAAATATTTTATGAATTAATGCAAATTTATTATTATAAAAATCTAATGTTTTAGATGCTCACACTACTAGGTACTTAGAGTAGATGTTTTGCAAAGACTGGTTTCAAATGATGCTGAAAGCATCAGTAAGTACTAGCAACACTACTGTAGCTAGCTGCAGATATTCACCATAGTAGGAGAAGGGGCAATAGTATGGAGGCAAGTATCGCTGCTTCACAGCTCAGGGTTCCCGAGTTCAATTCTGTTCAGAGGCACTATACTTTTACTCATTTACAGATGCAGCAATTCAAAATGCGCGGTAAAAACCCGCGGTACAGTAACCTACCCACAAGCCACAGCGGGGCACCGGAGGGCACCGCAGGGCAAGTGATTGGCTGGCCAAAATGACCGACAGGGGCACTCGTGGTGCATTGGTTGGTAGTGCAAAGATTTAATCATTTAATGTCTTTACTGTGCACATTTTAATCCGCTTAGTTT